ACACACACACACACACACACACACACACACACACACACACACACACACACACACACACCTGACTGTATTTATATACTAAAATGTAAATTGGAGTCAAGTTACTGTAACAAAAATCCACCCCATCTCTGTTATTACTCATTTATATATTCAATTGCTCATTGACATACTGCTCATTGCATAAGAGATTGTGATCGCCAAGTGGTTATAGCTATGGACTAGTAACAGAAAGCTCACATGTTCTAACACTAGAGAGTATTTTAACCTCAGTTTGATCCAGGGTAATGGTCTTGCATTGTACCTGACTTTGGCTGAAATCACTATACTGTTTGCATATTTAATACTAATGCAATGAATAAACCCCACAAATAATGCTGCCCTAAATGCATTCTGCCTGTGCATATATCCACAGCAACCCTTTAGGCCTTATATTACACAATACGAAATGCACAACAAAACTGCTCTGTGGTTTACAATATTGTCTTAAAACCGTTAATGCTATTGTGGCTGTGATTCTGTAATGGCCATATTTTAAAGAAATAGTTCACAAAATAAAAAAGAAAATTATCTAAAAATGTCTTCACCCTCAGGCCATCCTAGAAGTAGATGAGTTTTTTTGTCCATGGGAACAGATTTGTAGAAATGTAGCACTGCATCAGTGTCTCAGCAATGGATGCTCTGCAGTGAATGGGTGCCGTCAGAATGAGAGTCCAAACAACTGATAAAAATCTCACAATAATCCACAGCACTCCAGTCCATCAGTTACCGTCTTGTTAATGATGACATTTTAACTTCAAGCCATTGCTTCCGGCTAAAATACAAGTGCATATTCCATAATAATGCTTCCTCTAGTGAAAAAGTCCATCTCATCTGAACCAAGAGAGAAATATGCTTAAAACTTAAAACATCTGAAATAATGGACAATATGTTAACTGATGGACTGGAGTGGTGTGGATTACTTGTGGATTATTGTGATGTTTTTATCAGCTGTTTGGGCTCTCATTCTGACGGCACCCATTCACTGCAGAGCATCCATTGCTGAGACACTGATGCAATGCTGCATTTCTCCAAACCTGATGAAGAAACAAACTCATCCTAATCTCACTCATGTGTTACTATTTGGCCTTGAAGAGCGGTTATGAATTGGTTGCACCCACACACACACACACACACACACACACTACTCACACTCTCACACACACACTCTCACACGCACCCACCCACCCA